CCGCATATGCCCCACTTGCCGCATATGCCCCACTTGCCTCGACTTCCACATGGATTGGACAATCTCCCTGTACCAAATTTGCCGAACGGAAAGCATCCTCCAGGTTGGCCTTATGATTTATCATTCCTATTTTTAAGTTTATATCGTGTATGTTTGCTTCGTCACTATGCATATTTCTCTGGAGGTAATTGTCTCGTTTCTGTTCCTCCCTAATTACGCGTAGATTTTCCGTTATTGGTGTTGTATACGAAGGAACCATTATATTTTTCTTGTATTGTCGTCGGTGAAAATATCTTGTCGAAAGTTTCTCAGCTAATAGCGGCACTAATGGGATGAATTAGCGATTGCCTTGGCGAATGAATTTACATGAATGAACGATTTTGGGTACTCGGCTGTGAAAGATTTTCGTCTGGCAAAAATTTTTCGTCTGAGGATGACGGCTCTTGAGCAGTGAACTTTCGATGAATTTCCTCGAGTGGCTGTGCGAAAGATGAAATTGATTTCTGTTTTTGATAAGGCATATATGGAATTTGCTTAATAATGTCTGCGATTGTTCTATCATGAAAACATTCCAACGGACTGTTCCCGTGCACTAATGCAAGAGATTGGTTTCTCCTTGAGCATGTTCCGGGGTAATTTGTTTGGTTTTCGTCCACTCAGACATCAAACTCATCCATGTCGTTGGTGAAACCGTTTCTCTTGCAATATCAAAATTCGTTTTATCGGAAGCCAGGCATGATTTAGATGGTTGTTACATGAGTTAATCCCGGATTATACATGGACTGTTCATCGAAAATAACGGCGTCATCGATATTCTCGCTATTGGAAGTTTCGTTCACAATGTCCATAGGTTTTATTAACGAAATATCATCACTCATGGCCCCAATCTGCTTCAAAGACAAAAGTCTATTGTACTGAGACACGCCCTGGAAAACTAGTTGCAAAATCAACGGCACCCGTAAATTTAGGTATATAAAACAAGCTGACAGAAAGCAATTTGACAGTGAACGCAAATAACAGGGCTGCCCAACAAACGACCTTGCCGAGCTCTACCTGCGAGTATGTGTTGAACCGCCAAATGAATGCAGCAAGCATCGATATTTTGACGCACGGTACTCATGAAAATTGACATGGAGAGAAGGCAGCTCACTTGCTGGATTGAATTAGGTCCGAGCCCAAGAAAACGAAGACGAAGATAGTGCTCTTTGTACCTTAAATGAATACACAAAGAACGCCATTTTCTCTTGGTTGTTGAGATTTAGTGTCGGATGAAACCAGGTAATACGTTACAGTGGGGATAGGTGCCGTTCTTCTGGTGTAGAGTAGGTAGCCAGCATACTGTGGAGATAAACGCGTCAAATTTATTGCTTTTCCTCCAACTGATTTACAAATGGCTTAACAATCATGGATTGATCTCAAAATAAGCAGTATGGTCTTCAACAAGTTAATCAACCGAAATCAGTACGAAACTCGCTGTAGCTGATCGTCTAATTTCAACTTTCAGTCACACATGCATCTTTCGGAGAAAGGTCTCCATTGAGCTATATTCACTTCCATAATCGTGTCGCACTCTATTCACTGTGCAATTTTCCTTCAATATTCAACAACTTTGACAAGTAATGAGGTTAGACGAGCTTTTCAAGTCTGCTTCTGGGAGACAATTCGACATATCCAAAGCTACAGAAGATTTTTCTGGAGACTTGATTCTCGATGTGTACTTTCCTCACTAATCAGCGCACGATACTGTTAATAGATTGATTTAGCTTGCATTTTTTGAGGAACGTTTTCGTTCCGGATCAGTTGTAGCTTCGCGCTCGGACTTCCCGCATCCCCCTCTTTCATTACAGACATAATTAATCACTTCCCTCAACCGGTAAGGTCGAGCAATCGACCGATACTAAACATCCCTGGTGAATCGCAGGAGGGTTTGTTTCCTGCATCCATTTGTAAATGAAATTGAATTTATTTCCTTTTGTAACAACCCAAGTAATTTTATTTTCTCTCACGAAATGGAAGGTTGATCAGCATATCAATGCCAAACGCTTTTTGTAACTGAATACTTGGTTCTCAATACATTCTTCACTAATTTGTCCTTGATGCCATTAACGGAATAATTCGCTTCCCACTTATTGAAGAACGTTTTCATTCAGGATCAGTTGGAGGTTTATGGCCAGACTTTCCACATTTTCCTCCCTTCAGTTCTCATCGTTTACCCCAGTCACCGCATCCAAGCAATCGACCGACGCTAAATATTCCTGGCAAGTCGCCTGACGGTTCGTTTTCTGTATCCATTTGTCGAAGATCTTGAATTTACTCCTTTCCGTAACCGCCGAAGCAAGTTTATTTGCTCTCATGAAATAAATAATTGATTAGCATATCAATGTCGAACTCTCTTCGTTACTGAATACCTGATTCTCGATATATTATTCACTGATCAATGCTTGATGCCGTTCACACATTGATTCATACTTTATCTATTGAGAAACGTTTTTTTTTTCAGGATCCGGGCTGTGGCCATTCCATTCACTCAATATAAGTCATCCTGATGAATCCCATCAGCCAATGCAACCGAACAATCTACCGATATCAGATGCACCCAACAGAATACATCCGGAATTGGGTTGGTTGGACAGTTCGAATAGAGAGGCAACCAAATACAGAGCTATTAAATTATGCCTCGATGCTGATATTCGAAAGTGATATATTCTTGACGAATGAATGTTTTTCTTTTCAAAAATTTAGAAGGAGTTTGTTTGCAATGCTGAAATGCATTGCACTATGTTCAAGTTTGCTACTTCAAATTTTTAGGCTTGTGCATTTGCCATTAATTGTATATTAGCAATCGTTGACAGTCTCAGTCAGATTTGTGATGGTGGGTCATTTTTAAGCGGATGATGCTTTCAGGTAATCACCCACAGTCGCCTTGTGAACCAGGTAATTTTTACTTCCGAATACCATATTCATGAATTATGATAGACTGACGCAAAGGTGAACAAATAATTTCAAGCAGTACCTTCTCATGACGATATTACGTTTCCATTTTGTGTTACAATATCATGTTTCAATTATGATTGAGAATTGGCGAGAAGTAACGATGGAGCTGTTTGCCTCACAGTCGTTCAAAAGCTATTACGCGCAGAATTGCTTTAAATGTTAAAATCTTACAACTTTTATTCTGATGAGCATGAACCACACGAACTGAATAAAGTAAATTCAGGGTGTGACCTGGAAAATGATAAATATCTAGAATAACAAATAATTACAGCCTGTTAGCTACGCGTGAAAAATGTTCATTTCAAAAATAAGGTAAAAACTGATTGAGTATTATACCGTGGAGGTATGATGAGTTTCAACTGTTGATGGTTGTCCGACGGATGAAAATTACCCAAGTACATGTATTTGTAGAGGATTGTAAGGATATAGCGGATAGTGATGTATGTGAGATGTTAGCACCAATATGTGTGGATACAAAGGTAGATTTTATGATCAACATGATAAAATGCAAAGCGCAGAGACGGGACGAGGCTATTATTCACTATCAGAAGGTTATCTATTCCGTTCAATAATTACAACTATCCAGTATTTTGTTCTTCCTTAGACGAGATTCTCTTGTCTAAGGACTGGTCAACGCAACACTTTGGATTACTGAAATACGCATTCGAGCGCATATTGTTGTCTCTTTCAGCTTCGGCATGTAATTCCTATTTTGAATTTTATTCTTTGGCACTGATGAATTATGATTCTTTCGATCGGATAATTTCTCCTAATACTTTTGCTCGAATCAATAGAAAGAAATGTAATTTTTCTGCCTGCTGATACATCTTTCGAAAACAATTGCTTAGTAATTATTGAAATAATTATGTTTAAGGTTATCTCATGGCTGCGAAAATCGAGACGTGTCGCGCTGATATCTTCAGTTAATGAACTGAGTGAATGGATCAACGAAACCTCTCAAATCCGAAATATTTTCTTCGATGATCCTATGATGCAGTTGGAAATCGAACAACTCTTCCGCATTTCGCACTCTGGTCAAGATAGCGTTTGCAAAGAACTCTTCAGCAGGTCCAAATCATTTCATTAATTACTCTGACCCTAAAAACGTTCTCGTGCACACACGAATCCTTATACCTGACTTAATGGACTCTATGCCATACTTACGGAATCAAGACGTTTTGTCAGCCGTTTTGGCACCGAGAGGTTTTGCCACTTGTTTCTTGGCATCACTCATTTCTGACATATTTCTTTCTATCCTTTTATTCCAGTGTTATGTCGAGCATTTCTGGAAAAGTAACATTTTCGATCAAACTAAACTTTTTACGAAAATCTTTGGAAACGTTGAACTTTAGCCAGTTCTTACGGCTGAGGTGAAAACAGTGTCAGATAGTGGGTTCGGCTTAGGCTTTAGCTTGAGTTTATGACGGATTCAGGATAAGGATTAAACTCAGCTTGAGGCTTACAACGGGCTTAGGCTAAGGCTCGCAGTAAGCTTATCCTGGGTTTAGGACGAGCTTAGCCTTAGATTACCATATATGTTAAACTTGCACTTGCATTTTCAAAAGATTTCTGTGCGATAGCAGATTTTCACTGCTGTATCCATCAGCAAACGTTTCAGTTACGATTGTTTCTTTGATGCATAAGTCTGACAACGACCGTCCCCAAAGAATGCCTTTTCCTATTAGATGCAAAGTGACGGCGTTATAACAGCCGCGATAAAACATCACTAATTCCATTTTTGCATGCCGAACTATTTACATTGAAAAAACTCGCATAATTTTGGACAAACCTATACGTACTAGTGCTGGGCCGGGTTTGGAATCTCGCAGGGTATCTCTCAGAGTACCTGTGAGACCGAAACTGACATTGGTTTCAGCCGTTTCTGACCTCTCGGGATCGCAGTTGAGATCTAAGAAATCTGCCGCGGTTAGGTTTGTGCTCACGTGATCCAAGCTTTAGAAAAAAACCCGATCCGGCTCGAGCGGTTTTCACGATTTTTTGCTTTGGTAGCAAAATTTTGCATGCCTCCCGCACTAAAATTTTTAGCAATCTTTGCAGCAGTAATCCTGTTTAAGATAGAGATGCAGTGTATGTATGTAATAGAATATTGAGGAAATAACGAGAAATAAAACCATAGCTGAAGTGACGACTAATGGATCGTGCCAGGATGACGTGATGCGGTGATATGAGCTTTTCTAGAGACAAATGTACTAAATTGCAACTAATCCCAAAAAGTACGATGCACTGAATGTGCTAGAGATTTCCGTGACCGTATATAACATAAATATATCAATGTAACCGTGGATCACGAAATACCTACAATTTTTTTGCAGCATACCTTAAGGCTAGATCCTCTACATTGTGCAATTGCGTGTAAATGAGTTTTTTCTATTCTCGTGCAACCTTCCCGAAATTCTGAACTGTGTTATGCCGTTCCACTCGATAGATACTGCTAAAGTTTAAGCATGACCGTTGTAATAGTGTTTTTTATCAAAAAAATAGAACAAGTTGGGAAGCAAAGTGCAGAAGTGCTTAGCTGAAATTCGAACTCGATTGGTCAACCATTTCCGTCAGTGCTACCGCACGAACATGGTTTTCTCGCTAGCATCATGAATCGAAAAAAACAAACAACAGCGATCCGAGTTCTCTGGTCGGAAGTTNACCAACCGCTTTAAACTTTACTATTCAAGCAAAAACACTCTTACACACCACACCATTATTTTCACATGTTATTGAAGCTCGAAATTAACTTCAGCCAATAAAACACCTTCCCAACGAGGAAGCCGGATCCTCCGCTCTTGGGGTTTTCTTCCGCGCAAACTACCATAACGTCGGCTACACCTGGGCTGTAGAATGAATATTCCCTGAAGAGGCACAGGAATATTGTCACCAAAAGATTGACATGTTGTTGAAAAGTGTGGTTAATTTTTAAATCCTTAACATACTCAGATTCTCCGCGAACTGTAGTAATGAATTCCACTAAGTTCAGAGTATTTTTCTGCAGATCTTAAGTAAACGATCTCTCAAAATCGCTGCAATGTTGTAATTTATTTTGCACTTTTCATTCTTATAAAATTCAGTGTTATACTCTGGTAAAGTACAGCACAATTCAAAAAGTACAAATACTTTCAGTAAAGTGACATCACCGCTCGGAGCAGCCAGAATGTTATCAGAAGCATAAATTGTAATTGTTTTTCATAAATGTCCCTCTTCAGCGGGGTTATATCCATGCGGCGTCGGGTTTACGTTGCCGAAATGGGAACGCGACCTCTCGGGGTCAGAACTAATAGCCGAGAAACCCAAGGGCTCGAGTTCATAGCCGTAGGATCGGGATAACGTGTTGAAAATGTCAAATCGACCCTGCAGGGTTAATTTTGAGGTCCAATTCACCGACACTTGACCTTGCGCCAAATTTCAGAGTCGGCCCAACATTAATAAATATTTTAGTTTCTGTTCACTTCTTAATATCAGGATTGCTTACTTGCTTCTTATTACTTTACCTGTTAATATTCGAATTGATTGGAGACCATTCCAGATGCGTTCTAGAATCGATGAATCCCAACAGCAGAACCTGTCGTCACTATATGGCAAGATGTAGCCTTTGCGCAAATCATGACGGTATGTCTTTGTTTGTGCACTTACAGAACAAGATTCTCATATATTTACACGAGCAATAAATGTTACCATTTTATCAGTAACACGAGGTTACTTTCGAACCATTCTGATGAGAATAGCGAGTGAATCACGAAAATGACCATCAGTATCATAATGCTATCAAAGAATAGCGTTCATTGATCTAATGACCATCGTCCGAAAATTACCCACATTTTCTTGTTTTGTGATTGGAACATATTCAATCCTATGAAGAATTCACGTCGAACTTAACAGACTCACTCTTAAAACAATTTCAGAATCGTGCCAAGACTGTACTCGTCGCATCCACAATCCAATGAGATCGCTAGTTGAGCATGTATGTGCAAAAACCTGTCGTGCATCTTGCAAACGTATGTTGCACTTTTCAATTCCTTAGGATTCTGCTCCATTAGAGTACACGACGAACTCGATTCGCTTTCGATGAACTCAAAGTCCTATCTAATGAATACTCGATTCACTAAACTCCTATTTTTTTATGGCAAATCCAGCGATTTTCCTACGTTCGTTTAAATCTTATTCTGATTTCTGAAACTAACGGTGATGTGATCGGGGAGTGACCCAGTATTTAATAACATCAAAATTCTTAATCCAAAAGTCCTTTCGAAAGAGTGAAATCCGTATTAACTCGACATGATTATTCAATGAAAATATTTCAGAAAAATCGAACGATCTACTCAGTCAGTTACATGAATTGGGCACTAACTTCAGTTGCAATCAATTCGTATGATTAGTAGAGCATTGATGTATATGTTTCATTAATTAACATATTCGTTGCCAACGTCAATGGTATCACGAGTAATAAAATAAATGAAAACTGTCTTCATCATTTTCGTTATGTATACATTCAAAAACAAAGTATCACTTGTTCATACACTGTGAAATAAGATCATCCATATTAAGCCGAGAATAATTGCAGAACAATCACGAATAAATTAAGGAAAGCTTCGCAGCAAATATAATCAGTAAACAGGGTCATGGAGAACGTTTGTTATATACCATGGACAGACATTGACTAATGTTGATCAGTTTACTTAGTTTCGGACTAAACTATTTCAGTAATTGTAAACAGTTACATTCACATTAATACAATTCAATTTTAGCAGTTCACCGTCAGTAATTGTTGCTACACTGAATCAGAAATAAACGGATATTTAGAAAATCTGACGAAACATTCTAAGAATTAGAACGTCTGATGGACTCGTGCGAAGTAACGGAACACTAATCGTAAGTAGCATACGGAGCGATTACTCTGAAGAATTGCTGTTATAATCCCATGCTTCAGAAATAATGCCTGGAGCATTGGAAACCTTTTTTTCGGAAACCTTAATTAGCGGTCCTAGTATATTTCATCACCGCTGAACACCAATACAATGAAAGGATTCGTTACTTTATCAAATGTATAGATTTTTTACTCGGCAATAAACCCTGTATCTATCAATCAAATCTTAAAAACCGATACGTAATAATATTCCCAACTCCATTTTTTGACAACGCAAACATAAAGGACACAGTATGAAAGAATACACATAATATTTGTTTCCAAGATAAGTGGAATGTTTCAAAATATTCGTTACTCTCGAACACCTTAATGAATCACCCCAACATTAAAAAGGACAGCAAATGAGATCAAGAAATGAGGTGTTGAGATGTTCATATGAGAAATAGAGCACCGAGGTGAGATCGACTCGACAAAACAGCCCGTGATAAAATTACCATCCCAATGCGATTCCCGCGGAATGTCGCTAATCTGAGCTCCCGAGATGTCAACTAAGATGCTCTATGGGTCAACTTGTGGTGGATGTGCACAAGCCATGAAGGATCCATATGCCATGCAAATATGCTGCTGAGTGTAAGCTCCTGGCACATCCGCTCGCAACTAATCTACAACTGATCAGCTCTTTAAAACTGGCATTTGATAATCACGAAGACTGGTTTTCCTGAATGTCGTTTAAATAGTAGTGCTTCGTAAGGGCCTCAGCTGGGCCTCATGCAGAACATGGGACTGCTTAAGCTAACTCAGTGACACAACTAAGTGGTCCTCACGTTCGGGTGCTCCATTACTCCGCTTGATTACCTGGCAGGCCGCCGTTACCCCCCCCCCCCCCCCC